TTGTCAGTGAAGGCAAACATGGGTATATGGGTGGATAGATGGGTGGACAGGTTGAACGATTAGGTGTGTCTATGAAATGGGAAGTGTATCCAAGAACATATATAGGGTTGGCAGACAATTGTTCTGTAAGTTTATTTGAATGATCAGAATTCCCAGGTGTATAGTAGAGTTGACAAGGAGAAGGTTGTGGTCACTGCTTGGTCACAGCTAGCTACCCAGAGGGACCGAGTAGTTGAACCTGCAGGCTTGAGACCATAGTCGCAGGGGACATCAAACTCAATATGTAGGAGATCCTGGATAGAGAGGGAGAACAATGTGGAACAAAACTCAAAATCATTTGGAGAAAAAACTAAAAAAAAAAGGGAACGGGGACCAGATTTGCTGGTCTGATAGAACCTGGTGGAACCACTGAGACTATGGCCCCTAGCTGCCCTTCAGGTCTAGAATTGAACCCATACCTGTGGTTTCCAGCCAAACAGAAGACAGGCATATGAGTTGAACATTTACCTGAGGGAGATACACTCCTTGGAGAGAACAATCATTGAGAAAGAAGGGCTGCCTATGCACAGGGAGACAGCTCAGTGGGCAGGAGTCCATGGAGGGATGGACACTGGGAAGAGGTAACTATGGGGAGGAAGTGGGAGGGGAGCTGTTGCATTGTGGTAAACTGTGGTCAATGTCATGAGACAAAGTATATGTAAACTGCTGTATGGAAAGTGAATTTACCCTGTAAATCTTCACCCAAATCACAATTAATAAAAAAACAAAATGATGTCTGTATTTACTCTCAAATGGTTCAGAAAAACAACAATAACTTTAAGAGACACAAAATGAGAGAGAGAGTGTACTTGTGTGTGGAAGGGGGGAAGAAAGGTATATGTTAGTAATTACTGAATATTGCTGATGGGTACATAAGAGTTCATTGCATTATTCTTGTATCTTTTTTGTGTATTTGAAAAAATGTTTAATGAAAGTTTAAAAAAAAAAAAAATAACAGAGAATAATGAGAATACACATACAGTACAGCTTTGGTCTTTCTATGAGGGCAAATCCTTCCTGGTCAGGGTACTTGAGTTTAGGCTCCCCTTTAAATAGTAGCATTTGAAATTTCAGCAGGAAACAAAATGATAAAAGGAGCTCTCCAGTACCCATTCTCAACACTGCCACACCTATCCCCATTGCTTAACCAACCTGCTCCAAATTCAAAGAATCAACCTACAATTTGAAGCATAACACTCTTCTGGAGAAAAGCATATGTTTTAAATGCAAATGTTAACCAGATGAAATGTGCCAAATGAGAGAATGGAGGCATATTCACTTTGCATTACTTATAAAGCAGTTACACATTTACTTTTGAAAACAAATTTTAAAATTTCTCCAACTCTAAGACACTCTGAGTAACTCAATAACTTCTCAATAAATGATAACAAATGTCGTTAAATAATATGTCAATAAATGTCAATAAACAAATGAACAGAGGCAACATCCATTTTATAGCAAGTTTTCTTTGTATCATATTAATTCTTAAGTAATTTTTTCCTATAAACATTTCTTTAGAATCACTAGGGGTTCTGGTGGTGCAGTGACTAAGCACTTGCCTGTTAACCAAAAGGTCAGCAATGTGAACCCACCAGCCACTCCACAGGAGAAAGATGAAGCAGTGTGCTTTCATTAAGATTTCAGCCTTAGAAAACCTTGGAGCAGTTCTACCCTGTCCTACAGGGTTGCTATGAATGAGAAATGACTTGATGGCAGTGGGGTTTTTTTGTTTTATAGATTCTAACTTGATCAATGTCCACATTATTTTTATTGTGATTTGGGTGAAAGTTTACAGAGCAAATTCATTTTCCACACAGCAGTTTATACATATTTTCTCTCATGACACGGACTGCAATTTCCTACAATGACAGACTCCTATTTTTGTAGAATATATTTGGATTTCTGGTTCATCAAGACATTTTATTGAAAGTTAATCTTTAGGACTCTTCCTTTTGACTATCTAGCAAACCAAATCCTAGGTCCACAGTCAGGAGAATCACTCTCACCTGCCTGCTAAGGCAAAGTAGGTAATATAAACAATTGACAGGACTGGTAGATACTGTAAAGAGAATAGCAGAAACTGTGGCAATCTGGCAAGGTCATGCCACTACCAGGAATCTGCTGGTTTCAGCCTAATGTTGCCATAGGGAAGTACAAGGCCATTTGGGAATACCAGGTATTTCCAAAAACCTGAAATTTGAATTTTATGCAAAAGTTACTATACAATATAAGGTTAGCAACATCTCTAAAAGTTTTTAAGACACCATGTTGTAAAACTAAACACCTACAAACATTTCTACTCAGGGTCACCAGTTCACAAATTTACCTTAACACAGTAATACATGTTCAAAAACTCAAGTTCTAGTTCAATGACAGAAAAGGGCACACACTAATCAAACTGAATTTTTTGGCATCCTATTTAATGTATGAAGTTCCCACATTAGTTAACTGTAATATTTAATTTTATAAAAATAAACCCAGAAAAATTAGTCTTTAAAAGAAGTCAGTCCTTTCAAGAAAAAGTCTACTATGTTACTAATAAGTCTGTAAATCAAATTGCTGCTGCTATGTGTGTGTGTGGGGGAGTACATGCATATACATGTATGCATACATACTTTATATGTATATAAAGTAGAATTATTTTTCAACTTACTTGGATTTAAAGTAAATAAAAAAGAAAACACCCAAATTAGAGGGTCTTAACTTTTTTTAGTATCCCAAGCATAGCAAACTACAAAAGAAACATACAGCTTATCTATACTGCGCTTATTTTTTTTACCACAAATACTCACCTAAGGATGCATAGACAAATTTTGCCTCCTGATGTGAGTCTGCAGAATCCAAATCTCTGTTTACTTTCGATGTCTGTCAGTACAAAGGTAAAGTGCTGTCCAACTTGATTTTGAGACACCCTATAATACAGTAACAATATAAAAAATTAAATCTTCTGTGAGAATTTCTTAAAGAATAGAAAATATAGAATATATTTATAGTGATATTGTTTTCACCTTTCTAATTAGCTGGTTCTCAGAATCAGAACAGTGTTCTAAAACTAAAGTCAGTGTGGTATGTGTAAACTAGCTCATGGGTCAAACATCAAAATAAGCTGTAATGTTTTTTAGACCTAGCAGTTCAGCATATCTAATCACTTTTTGAGAAATCTTACGATTTTCTGCCATAAGTTTTCACATGTCTAAAAATTCTGACAAAAACTCTCATACATTCTCAAAACACTATCATTTGAAATGCTGCAAGAGAGAAACTAGGACATGATGACTAAGACCTTTTGCTCAACTCTAGCCTCTTTTCCTGATTCCTCTAAGAAGCTTAGAGAGAAAACCATGTTGCTTTCCTCTAATGGCAACCACTAACAACTCTGTTTAATAACTTCTGTTGACATCCCATTGACTAGAGTACTATACAAAACAATACTGGTAATTTTTTAGCATTTTCTTTTAGAGCTACCATATACAGGGGAATAAATTTCCAAATAACAATAGGACTGATTTCTAAAAAAAGAAAAGAGATTAAAAAAAAAGCTTACTGGCTAAGCTGTAAAGACTCTTAGCTAATTTTTGAACTGTATGTCATATTACCATGATACTGCAGTATAAGGCTCAATGTAATAATATATGGATTCATTATATTTATTTAAAATATATGTTTTCTGGTTATATATCCTTGCCATTAGACACACATAATCTGCTTCCCTATCCCAAATTAAAATTTCTGTGACACCTGAATTTTGGTTTTGAAATAGCCAAACAGATTTGGTTTTGAAATAGCCAAACAGATAGGAAACAGGAATTAAAATACTTTACTGCTAGTAGGCTGATACTTCAAGCTGTTCTCAGTTGTCAGGAATATTCAATTTTAAATGCTAAACATTTAACAAATATATTTTTAAGTGGACACTTTCTCAGAAAACGTCTTACAAATAATTTCAAAAACAATCCCCAATGCCTACTGTGCCTTTTTGAACCCAACACTCATAATATCCTTTCATAGCTTTTTCGCATTTTATCCTTACTGTTTGAAAACTACAACTTTAGGAGGGCACTAACTGCCCACAAGTGAGGTAGAACAACGAGGATCATTCATCAGCAACATTCATTAGTATCACATCCCATCATTAAGAAGGTGTTATCTTTAGTATAATAAAATTTTAGATTCTGACTAATCTTTACCTGAGCAAAATATTTCCCTAAAATCAAATTTTCTTTGAAAAACTCTTCATAGCACACTCTTTAAAAAACTGATAATAGGGTGAGAAAATTACAGGAATAACAATAAATCATCTGTTACTATACTCAAAGGAGTATGTATTCTATGTACATACTCAACTAAACACTGGTAATACTCTTAGTTCAGTGTTTGGTCAGTGAAATGTAAACATAATGAGATTTTCAATACTGTTAGAAAGGTTTTCCTGAATCCTTTGATAATACCGCACTATTGGGAAACAACTAGTTATAAGTTTTACAAATTACTCAGATGGTCTTTTCAGTCAGGGTGAAGTGAGATAGAAGCCAGGATATATAGATCTAATATTTAAAAACATAATTCTAAGGTTTTGGTCAAGAACATTTTTTTTTTAATCTACTAGTGCTTAGAATATGTACCTGAAGAACAAAGTGAAGAAACAGAACCTATTGGCAGTACTGCTTTAAAACTTCTCAGTGACCACAGAAGAGAAAACAAAAGACGAAATGATATAGAAGTTCTTCATTCCAAGTACCATTTAATTTTGAATCTCTAGACATTTTTGTTAGAAGCAGTGAAGAGAAAGTCTATTAGATTTTATAAAAAAAAAAGAACATCTAATAATTTTAAAGTGTGCACTATGACGAGCTAAAGTTATTTTAAATGATGACTTATACTGTACCTTTCAACGTCAAAGGGGAAACAGAACTTTGGCACACTCTGTAGTACTTCCTACAAATGCAAATTAAAATAAATAAATAAAGCTTTAAAGTATCTTTCTAAATGCAGTTAAAACTTTTCTTGAAACATTTTCTAGAAAGAAAAAAGGTTTTGTTTTATATTTTCCCTTAAGAAAAATAGCACAGGTTCCTAGACCAAAATAATTGATTATTAAAAAGGAATTAAGTTTGTGCTTTGGCAGATTGCACTGACAATGCCACGGAAACCCCAGGAGGGAAAGGCCTGGCCTGAAGGGTATTAACACCCTTCACATCCCCGCTGGGATTCCCTTCAACAAGGCCATATGGATTTTACAAGAAGCACTGCACCATATGGGTAAGCTACGTCTGCTGCTACTTGTACCACAGACTAGCCACAGGGACTTCTGACAGATCCTGGCTCAAAAATATAAATGTTGTTTCAATTAAAATGCAGGCAGAGAAAAGGGAATGAAGTTGGCAGCAGAATGAATTACTGAGAGGTATAACAACTCTACATATCACACAGTCAAATGGTTTAAAAAAAAAAAAAAAAAACTTTCTATAGTTAAAGAAACAGTCATTTATATGGTTCCACCCTGATAAATTCAATAACAGTAACACTAAGTTTTATATCAAATAATATTCTTAAAGAAATGTGTATCTAAAAGTAAGACTTTAAACAGAAACAATAAAACTTCTATTTGGACACTATCATTTAATAACTGCCTAGTATTGAAAATCAATGTTTTAATTAAGCACAGAAAATAACTTTATTGCTTTTGAAACCTATGATGAGTTTATAGTTACTATAAAATAATATGAAATTTTCTAAAAATCACACTCATTAATGAAAAATGAAAGGGCAAATAATTGTCACCTATTTGGCAAAAAAAAAAAACAGAAAAAGATCTATTTCCTTATAACTGAAAAACAACTTAAAATTAACTGCAATTCAAAACTTTATATCACAAGCTAATCTCACAGAAGTTTGAAACCAGGTAATTTTATAAGGCAAAGCAGAGAATTATGAGAATGTTTTCTATTTAGGAAAAAAAAATACATATATATATATATAGAGAGAGAGAGAGAGAGAGAGAGCAGTACTCATTTCTAAAAAAGAAATACCTGACCTACTATCTCTTTACCAATAAAACTTCTACCCAGAGAAATCATCAATATCTAAACAGTTAAACCTTATATGTAAATATAGTATTGGGTGTTTTAAAATATTTTTTTTTACATTTTTTAAAAATGTAGACTGCAGTAAGGTATCAACAAAAAATGAAACGTTGTAAACGTGACAACAGAAATACCTAGGACAGTTCGAAGACCTTAACTCACTGAAGAAGAGAGAAAAGCATCATCGAAAAAAGCAACCTTTTACCTTGAGGATTGGTACACTGATTTGCTTAAGTACGTTTGTTTCAAAGAATGAGCACAGACCTCATATATAGAGGAAGCTAAATTATATAACTACTGACAGTATTTTGTTAAATGTAATTAAAAGAGCCACTAAATTTTAAATAAATTACTTAGACTGAAAGCCAGTTTATTACACAAGAGAATAGTTCATTTGACCATTGCTTAATCTTTATCTTGTGCTGTGTAAAGTGAATCCATTTATCCTATTTACTACACACATGGACACAATTTAGATATCCTCCTACAAAACTACTTACACAATTTCTGTAATACTAAAGAATATATCGCCAAAGTCCAATGTCTACCTCTAAACACACCCAAATTAATGATATATTTCACATCGATTTTAACACTGAAAAAGAATGCGTCCCAGTTAGGTGCCTAACGTTCCACACCCTCCCCCTCCCTTCTTTCCCAACACACATGCACACACTTCTGCAAAACAGCCTCAGCTCGCTTCCCAACTGGCAGAAGCATCCCTCAGGGGACAAGTCTTTAAACCTCCGCACTCTTTAAAATTCAACCAGCCAGCAGGTCTATAGACTAGTGTATAAACAGTATAGACAAAAAAAATCCTCTCTCAGCTTATGTCAGTGACAAAGCAGCTCAGCAGTTGACTGTTTCTCCCCTGACAGTATAAGCTGGGTTTACACAGATCAATAGCTGAAGTCCTACCTAGCTCCCAGGGCTCGATTTTCTTCCTTAATTACAGGTGCTATTCAAACTGAAGTTAAAAAAGAAAAGAGAGAGAGAAAGAGTTGGAAGGAGGAATAAGATGCATGCAAATTGCCTTTTTTTTTTTTTTTTGATCCTTTTAGCAGTAACTGTCCATTGAAAATGATATTTTTTATATTTACTGGAAAAGTGTTAATAAAGGCTAGTATTTCCACCATACAGTTTTTGATGTGACACAAACATACACACACACATTAAAAAAAAAAATTCTAGGTTGGCATTCAGAGATTATGTGAAAGGTTTAAGATAACTGTCTTCAGAAGTTATCAGCTTCCCCTTTTTCTACAGGCTCTTGTTTTTAAGAGAAGCACCTAATTTCTTTAACACCAAAATTATTTGGGTTTTCAGAATTTTATTTCTCAAAAATATTTATACTCAAAAATACTTTTATACAAAAAAAGAGGATATTCACTAGCACATGTCAAATGCTAAAAATCAAAAGTAGAAAAACTAAAAAGATATAAAAAGCAAAATACAAGGGATAGTGACATTTTCAGATCTGAATATGCCCTTAAAACAACAACAACAAAAATCTACACTCATATTAAAGACTGGAATAAGAACTGATGAAGATTTATACAATGATATTTGGTCCCATATCAATGCACCTCTATTAATAAGCATTATAATCAAATTAACTTTGTAAGAAAGAAGAGCGTAAACTACTAGTGTTACAGTGGTACCATAATTCTTTATCCCAGGAGGACATCATTTAGCACTATAAACTGATCAAATAAAAAGGGAAACAAGCATTTTGGAAGAATCAATTTTTTACAAAATATGTAACATTTACCTCCTGATCAACTGATCATCTCCTACCTTATCCTGAAATACTGGTGTTCTCTCTTCCATATTTTTCTCTTTTCCCTTCTCAGTAATGTCCACTGCCTGGGCAATCTCATCTATACCCATGGTTTCAACTATCATTGCAGATTAGTAACTACGAAATTTCTTAGTCTTGTAGTTTAAACATTTCTGTGAACTCCAAAATCATACTTCTAATTACCTTACTGGTATCACTTTTTCAAATGTTCCCCAGACATTTCAACTTAAAATGTCCCTAACAGAAGTCTTCTTTCAGTTATAGTCCTTATCACCAACAATGGCAGTACTATTGACCTTGTTACCCAAACCAAAACCATGGGAGTCATCTAGACCCCTCCCCTTCCCTGATGCCCATATATAATCAATCATTCATCAAGTTTTGTTACATCAACTTCATAGATATATTGCTCCCATGGTTCCCAATGGGAAGGAAGGTTAAGAAAACTGGAAGAAAAATAAGAAGGTATCAGAATTATTTGAGAGGATTTCTCAAAACACATTTGATTGTCTACACTTAGACTCTGTTCCTACATGGTTCCTCAACTACGGCAGTTTGAACCTACCAGCCACTCTGCAAGAAGAAAATGAGGCAGTCTGCTTCCATAAAGATTTACTACCTTGGAAACCCTATGGGGCAGTTCTACTCTGTCCTAAAGAGTTGCTGTGAGTTGGAATCAACTCAATGGCAGGAGATTTTTTTTTGTTGTTTTCAATATCAGTTAGGATGCTTGCCATATATGTTGTTATTATTAGTCACCATCGAGTCAGCTCCAGTTTGTGGTGACTCTATTTGCAACATAAAAAAATGTTGCTTGGTCTTATGTCATCTTCATGATCACTGACATGTTTGAGTCCACAGTTGTAGCTACTGTGTATGCCTTTGACCTAGGTGGTTCATCTTCCAGTATTATATCAGACAATATTCTGCTGCGACCCACTGGGTTTTCACTAGCTAATTTTCAGAAAGAAAACGAGGCTTTTCTTCCAAGACTGTCTTAGTTGGACGTTCTTGTTCTGGTTACCTCGTGCCACTCTGACAAGAACATACCACAAACGGGATGGCTTGAACAAACAGGAATTTATTCTCTCACAGTTTGGAGGCTTTAAGTCCAAGTTCAAAGTGCCAGGCTCTAGGGGCTGGGTGAAAGCACCTCAACCTTGGGGCTTCAGCTCTGCCTTCTGTTCCCAGCCCACTGAAGCTGGACGCTTTTCTTCACTCAGCTGGCTGCTGAGGCTGACAAACCCAAGGTTGACAAGTAAAAAGCACAGTCTCAATATTACTAAACCACACAGCAGGCTGTTAATTCAAGTCCCTTGAAAGTCCCAAGGTCGGCAGAGCATGGCAGGCTGCTGAACAATGACACAGCTACATGGAGGGTTCAAGCGTGCCATTAGCTAGAGACCATTCCCAAAGATGCTTCTTATATACAGGAACCAGACTATATCCCTAAGGCAGCTACTCAGCTGCTCACAGTAGATCCTACCATGGAGTTGATTGCCAGTCTCATCACGCCAGCTGCCCAGCCACTCAACCAGACCCAGCCAAGTTGACACACAACCTTAACTACCACAGCTCCAATGAAATTTGTCCACCATCAGTGACCCTATTGTTATTTGAAATACTAGTGGCATAGTTCCCAGCATTACAGCAACATACAAGCCACTACAGTGTAATAAACTGACAGATAAAAGTGGTGGCTGATGTATACAAGGAATAATTATTCCCTTATACCAAGAAACAACAAAGCAGATTTGTATAGGGGCTAATTAATTCAGCATCTTCTTCAAGGACTCAGGAGCCATTGTACTGCTCTACTGTCCTTGGCAGCTTTGTCCTCTACTCTTGGTCACAAAATGAGCTGCCAGAGTTCAGCACATCGCATGAAGATATAGCAGTGTCTAGTGAAAATAGTATCACTTTCTTTGAGCCTCTTGGAGAGGAAACCTTTCCAGAATCCTCACTTGATAACTTTCCTATTATATGTCATAAGAAGATCACAAACCACTACTAAACTAACCACTAGCATGGAAAATTGTTACTTATGCTCG